AGAGAGAGAGAGAGAGAGAGAGAGAGAGAGAGAGAGAGAGAGAGAGAGAGAAACACACACACACACACACAAACACACACACAAAAGACACCACGAATAACACAAACAAAAACGGCTCACCGTGTTAAATTCTCTTGTAGAAAAGGTCGCCAAAAATCCACAGCTTATCAAAGGAAGACTTTGCCTCCTGAAGAGAACAAGAATCAAAAAGAACATTGTCAAAAGCTTGAACAGAAGCTTATAATAGGGCGATTGATACAAGGGGGAAAATGACAAAAGGATTCTGAATAAAATCGGATATTGTACGCAAACAAAGATCGTGTATACAAGATAGTTCACTCTTCTCTTTGAGCCAAATAAAAAATCGTCCTAAAAATTCGGTGGCGCCCTCTTCGAAAAAGCGCGGACTTGGTGAACAGAGTTACGCTACAAATGTGAAAAAAAATAAAAGTGAAACTAATAAACTGTGCTGTTCCTATTCTTCTTCTGGAGAGAAAAAAAGAGCTTCAAAACAAAGACTGTAGCGCAATCTGAACCAATGCGCGGACTTCTGCGGACACTTTTTTGGCTGAGTGAACTATCTTGTTATGAACGATCTTTGACGCTAATCCGTTTAGAACATACCACCATCTTTCTGTACATTCCACACATAGAAAACGAATATACAATTTTTTACAAGAACTTTTAGTTCAATTTTAGTACAAGTTTTAAGGCCCTTGCAACACTATTAAGCCATAAAAGTGTCCAAGATTAGAGGTGTTACGATTCGAGACAGTAATATACAAAGGAAGGAAGGAAAGATGATTTGTTTTTGGGTGAGGGTTTTACTGCACTTGCAGCACAATTAGGTCATATAAGTGACCACGATTAGAAGTATTACAAGAGAGCATATATAAGAAAAGTTTAGTTTTAGTAATAGTCTTACGGCACTTGCAACAAAATAAGGTCATAATATAAGTGCCCAAGATTAGAGGTGTTACAAGAGAGTAACAAAAAAGGAGGAGAGATAAAGACGATAGAAGTTTGATAGGAAAGAAGAAGCAAAACCACACCAGAGCACCCGCCAACAACCCACATACATACAAAGAAAAGAACAAGAAGAGATACAAGGAAGAAAAAGACGAGATAAGGAAGATAAAGAAGAGAATAGGAAGATAAAAGTTTGATAGAAAAGAAGCATCAACCCACACCAGAGCGCCCATCAACCACCCACACCATTTAAAAGAAAAAAACCGAAATTGAATACGGATTAAGTTTTATTTATGAGGAGCGCGTCGTAGAAAACCACTCAGGTCACATGTGTGGCTTTGTGGGGAGCGATGAGGGGATACAACATTTCTTCAAGCTTTTCGAGTTGCCATTTTGCTTTCCGTTTGTTTTGTTAAGGTTTTTTGTTGTGTTTTGTTCTGTTTTGGTTGCTGTTTTTTAGGCGTGGGTGGAGAAATTTGCATAAACCTTCAACAACTGTCGTCTTATGGGAGACAGCTGGAATCTGGGGGAGGG